GGGAGGTAATTAGGTTTGGATGGACTCATGAGGGTGGGGCCCCCAGGACGGGATTAGTGCCCTTCTCAGACAAAACACCAGCTCTCTCCCTCTTTCTCAACACAAGACAGTGGCCATCTGAGAGCCAGGAAAAAGCCTCGCCAGAACCCAACCATACCAGCACCCCAACTTCAGACACCAGCCTCCAGAACGGAGAGAAATCCACTCCTGCTGTCTAAGCCCCGGCTGTGGGTGCTGCTGGAGCAGCTGGAGCAGATTAAGACTGACGTTCAGACTCCTTGCTTCTTCTCGACTAGCTTCCCATGGAACGCATGAAAGCATAGCCACAGGAAATACTTTAATTACAGCCGTGCAGGCGCTGCTGATGGGCGCAGGGAGCTGAGGACTTGGGCTTGGTACCTGCCCCACCCACTGGCCCAGCTCAGCCCTCCCCCCGGAGACCTGCAGGCACAGCCAAGCTCAAGAACCACCTGCAGGGCCGATGCCAAAGCTCGTCCCACACAGAAACCATTGCTCCGACCGGCTCCCCGCTGGGCGTGGCCAGCGCCTCACACCTCCTGCGCGGCCCTCTCTCCCGCTGTTTTCACTTTTAGATTCAGGCCGGCTCAGCCCGCCTTCTCTGCCCCGTCCCTGCCTCGTGCCCTTTGTAACCACAGCCTGGACTCCGGTCAATGGCTTCTGTCCTCTTTAGCCTTCGGGCCAGACTCCAATTTCAGGGGGGTTGTCAGGTGTAAAGGCGCTCAGGGCGGTGGAGAGTTCTGTTTATGGCAAGAGCTTAAATCAGCCAGGCCAGGTGGGCACGGCCCTCCAGGCACCCATAAACCCTGAGCTCATGGCCGCCATCCACTCACCTTCCCAGGCCCGGCGTTCAGGCCCCCTGACCCCTGACCGCAGGTGCGGGTCTTACTATTGCTTGGCCCTGCCAGCGCCCACAGGCACCAGCCCCACCCACTTGCCTCTGGTTCGCTAGGACCTGGGGCATGGACTTGAACTTGGGAGCCTTAGCTTTTCTTTCTCGGACAGCGACTCCCCTCCTCGCACCTGGAGCTGAGAGGACAGAGTCCAGAGATCATTCATCAGCGCCCGCCCGGCGGCGAGGTGCGGCTGTGCCTGCGGTGCTGTGGCTGCAGCTGCCGCTGGGATCCGCTCAGAATAGCTTCTTGGACGCCCTTCCCCGCGCGCCGCCCGCGGTGCCTTTGGCCAGAGTCCCCGCTCCCTGTGCTGTTTGCTCCGCTAGGAGGCAGCGCGACCCAGGCCTCTGAGGAGAGGGAGGGCTGAGGCCGGAAACCACGGCCCATCTCGCCTTCTCCCCCGGCTGCTCTGCGGGGCCAGCAGCCTGTGTCTCCGAGGGAACGGGCGGGGGTGTTAGCGCCACAGCTTTTATTTATTTTTATTTAAAAAAATATAGTGCCAAAACCGGTGTGGCTCAGTGGATAGAGCATCGGCCTTCGGACTGAAAGGTCCCAGGTTTGATTCCGGTCAAGGGCACCGTCCCCGTGTGTGGCACATCCTCCTCCCTTGGTTGTAGGCACATGGGAGTGCAGGAGGCAGCTGGTTGATGTTTCTCTCTCATCAATCTTTCTAGCTCTCTAGCCCTCTCCCTTCCTTTCTGGAAAAAATCAATAAAATATATTTTAAATAAATAAATAAATAAATATTGTCATTGATTTCTGAGAGGAAGGGGTGGGAGGGAGAGAGGAGCATCAATGATGAGAATCACTGATGGGCTGCCTCCTGCACGCCCCACACTGGGGATCCAGCCGGCAACCCGGGCCTGTGCCCTGAGTGGGAATCGAACCTTGACCTCCTGGTTCCTAGGTTGGTGCCCAGCCACTGAGCTGCGCCGGCCGGGCACCCCCATGGCCTTTAGATTCCAGGGTACCGCCTCCTGGTGCACCTCGCCCGCACTTCCGGCAAACCCGTTACCATGAGCCCTGAGTGAAGATCGAGGGTGTTTATGGGGGGGACCTGGCCGGCCTCCTGCTCCTCAGCTTTGGGGTGATCGCACCTGAGGCTGACACGCAGAGACGGGGGGTTTGTGGGTGCCGTGGAGACGGGGGGGGGGGGGTGTTTGTGGGTGCCACGGAGCGAGTCCCTCCCCCCCCCCAGATGGCCCACACTCCCCCTCGAGCCCAGGGGAGTGTCCCCGGATCACCGAGGATGCACTCCCTTGGGGATGAGCTGGAGGACTCTGGGGACCCCACAGCCTCATCGGCACCCAAATTCAGCACGAGGCTCCCGTGTCTCTGGAGATTAGGAAGACGGAGCTGATGCCCGAACAATGGCTGACTGTTTGCCGGGGCATGTTCGACAACAAGTGAGATCTTTCCTGCCCAGCGGGGGAGAAGGCTTTTCTGGGTTAAACGGAAAATTCCCAGGTGCCAGAGGATTCAGGGGACACGGCTGGGGGTCCCCAGGACGCAGGGCGGGTCCGGTTAAAAGTGCCAGCTCCCCTGTCCCCTGCGATGCCCGCCTCGCCCGTCCCCCCTCCCCGCCCTGGGCACAGACGCCTGGCCCTCCCCCTGACCCGGTACCCCCCTCCCCCAGCTCCCACAGGGCCAGGAACGCTGCCATTTGTCCTCGTTCCAAAGCCTCTGCTCTGCTCGGTGACCTGCCAGTCTGAGCAGGAATGAATGTCACCTTCCGAGCAGGCGCCTAAAAATCCCTGCCTCCGAGGTCGGAGGCTGTGCAGCCCATTAGGCCCTGCCTTCTTCCCTCTGCGGACGGTGTGAGCGGGGCGGGGGGGCTCTGTGCCAGTGGGGGGCGCAACACCAGCTGCATCGGACTGACTCACCCTCCCCTCGCCCCGTCCCCGCGTGTGGCACATCCTCCTGCGCCTGCGCCCCGCACAGCAGCACGGACGTCCTCATTCCGGGACAGCACGGCGCAGGGCCCTCAGAATACATCCCGGGGTGGCCAGCCAGCGGTGACACCCCGAGATGGGCTGATGAGTGAAGGCTGCCGGGCCTGAGGGGAAGGTGTCCTCCCTTAAGCGCTTACACACCCGGGCCGGCTGCAAAGTTAACTCTGCCGACTCCGGGGCAGCTCAGGGCCCGGCCGCCCGCCCCCGCCTCTGCCCGTGCCCACTGTGCCGCCCAGCCACTCCCTGCAGACGCAGGAAGGGCAGCGGCCAGAGGTGCGGCACTCCCCCTAAATGCACCCCAGGGCCCCTCCCAGTGCTCCCTGACCAGTGGCCTGGAAGCTGGTGCCCTCGGTGGGCGGGGCCTCAGGACTAGGCACCCCCCTGTGCCTAGTATGCCAGCCCAGCCCCCAGCATCTGTGTCCCTGAGAAAGGCCGCGTGCCAGCGGCCGGCTGACCTCCTTCCGGGCACGGCCATCGCGGCCACTGCTGGTGGCCGGCCCACGCGGAGCCTGTCCGCTTGAACCCTGCGGCCGAGGGGTCCGCCCGAGGCCCGTCCTCCTTCCCTGCCCCTCCAGCGGGGGCCTGCGAGGCCGGGACCAGCCCGGGAGGGCCGCCTGCCCGCCGCGTGTCCCGTGAAAGGCGTTTAATTACTTCTGACAGAGTTCAGCGGCGACAGCTGTTCGCGGGCGGGGAGAGTCGGTGCGGGTCATCCATCACCGTGACAGGCTGCGGTCTTTTGGGAGTGCCTCTCCTTTCCTGGCGGGCTGGGGCAGGGGGCCGGGGCAGGGGGCCGGGGCAGGGGCCGGGGCAGGGGGCTGGGGCGGGGGCCGGGGCAGGGGGCCGGGGCAGGGGGCCGGGGCAGGGGCCGGGGCAGGGGGCTGGGGCGGGGGCCGGGGCAGGGGGCCGGGGCAGGGGCCGGGGCGGGGGCCGGGCGGGTCAGCAGCCACAGGACAGGCACCGGGCAGAGGAGTGCCCCCTGTGGACGGGCAGCCCGGCCTCCTGAGGGCAGACTGGGCGCTGGCCACCGGACGGGCAGCCCGGCCTCCTGAGGGCAGACCCTGGTGCCCCGGAGCCAGGAGCCCCGACCTCCCCGACAGCATCCCTGCTGCCTGGGCCCAGATGTTGGGAATCAGAGAGCAGAGAGCAAAGGAGGACGGAAATGGGGGGGGGGGGGCACGCTGTGGACAGCAGCGCTGAGCGCGAGGCGGGAGGGAGGCCGCGGTGGGGAGGCCGGGGGACCGGGGAGACGGGGAAGCGGGCGGAGGGCTGCCGGGGTGGACGGCCGCACAGCTGCGTCGCGGCCTGAGGCCTCCACAGCCTGGCATGTTCCGAGCGCGGGGGCGGCCGGTGACACGGCGGACGGACCGCGGGCGGCACGGGGGCGCCGAGGGGCGGCGGTGCTCACCGGGCTCGGCATCAGGCTCAGGGAGGCGCCGGCCCGGCTGGCCGCTTCGTGCAGCTGTCCTCCCGGCCAGGGCCGGCCGCTGTCCCCAGGCGCCCTGCTTCCCTCCCGGCACCGTGCCCCCGTGGGGACGCCGGTCTGGGCACTGCCCGGGCCGCGCAGCCGAAGGGACACGGCTCAGTTCTGAGGTCGGAGCTGTGGCTGCTGCAGGCAGGTCAGACCCCGCGCCAGCTCCGAGGGCTGCCCCGGGGAGCCTAGCGCTGTGGGTGAGCGTCTGCACCCCGAGTCCCCAGGGCAGGGGGTGGGCTTGAACGGCCCCCCAGTGGAGGGGTTTGACCCACAGTGTCCGCCCCGGGGACAGACCCCAGGCTCAGCCGTCAGACGGTGGGGTCAGCCCAAGGCTGCCCTCACCAGCAGGCGCTGTGCCCGGTCAGGGCCCCGGGCAGAGCAGCCCCCTCGGGGAGAGTGAAGGTGGTGGCCTGAGCCAGGCGGCGTGAGGGTGCGCTCCGGGGCAAACCCTCTCCCCAGGGGCGGTGCCCGCTGGTCACCACAGAACTGACGGCAGCTGAGGTGAGGTGAGGGGGGACCCAGGAGCGGTGCCCTATTGGCTCTACTGCCAGCTGCTGCTGTCGGGATTGTGCCGTGGCCGTGGCCGTGGCCTGCGTGGCTGGGAGCCCACAGAACTCGCCGGGGAGGTGGGGGGAGCCGCCTGGGCGGGGAGGGAGCGGACCTGACCTTCTGGAAGTGAGGCATGTGCCAGAGGGCGTCCAGCTTCACGGGCGGCTTGTACTTCCTCAGCTGGCTGCTCCGCGTCTCATACAGCTCCCCGAGGCTCACCTGCGCCGGGAAACGGGCAGGTGCTCACCGGGGGCTCCCCTGGCGCTCAGAGAAGCCGAGCTGCCAGGAGGGGGCGCAGGACGGGGTGTCACAGACTGAGGGTGCCCTTCCCCCTCACCAGCCCTTCCCCGTAGGACTTCAGGGCACTGCCCCTGTGGCTCAGTGCCCGGCCGTGGCTCCGAGTGGGGAGGGCCGTGGGTGCCGCCAGCATGCCGCTCTGGGTCCCGGCGTGCAGCGCTCCTGTCCTGTGCCCACGGCCACGCAGGGAGAGGGACCCCACAGCGTTTGGGGGAGGAGGCTGGATCGGAGGGAGGGCTGGCATCTCTGGAGCAGGTCCAGCCCAGGGCGCCCTCGGAGGAGAAAGGAGCACTCTGGGGTCGGCTCCAGCCTGTTTTCTGAGGGTGAGCTGGGTTCTGTCCGGCACACAGGCCATGCCTGGCCTCCCAGAACCTTGGTCTTGGGGCTTAGGTTCAGTCTGATCGTCACCAAGACTCCCTCACCTCTAACTTCCCACAATGCCTCGGGCTCTAACTTCCCACAATGCCTCGGGCTCTAACTTCCCACAATGCCTGGTGGCCAGGCCACAAGCAGCGAGGTTCGCAGCCCCCCCCCTTCCCCTGGGACAGGCATGCACGGGCTCAGTCTCGAGCTGAGCTTTGCGGGGCCAGCCCTTCCCGCCTCTGCGCCCTGACGTGGCTGGGAACGGGGGGGGGGGGGGGGGGGCGGCCTTCACCTTCTGCTTCTTCTCCAGTTTGATGGCCTTCTGGGCGGCCTTCTGCTCCTGCACCCACAGCTGCTGGTAGCGGTGCCGCAGCAGGTCGAACAGGGGCGTGGAGGGCCTGCGGGCGAGGCGGGTGTGAGGGCCTCTCCGGCCGCCCGCCCGCCCCCCGGGCCACCCCCCTCACTGGGCTCCGGGGCAAACCCTCTCCCCAGGGGTGGTGCCCCGCTGGTCACCACAGAACTGACGGCAGCTGAGGTGAGGTGAGGGGGGACCCAGGAGCGGTGCCCTATTGGCTCTACTGTCGCGCATATTTGAAATTTTTCACAAAAAGAGAAAAAGAAAAAAAACGAAAACAAAACAGTGGAGAAGCTCGTTGTCCTCCCCATCACTCCCTCCCGACCTGCCCTTGGACCCGACAGCTTAGCCACAGACACGGGCCAGGGTTCTGATCGGGGCGGAGGGGCGAATGGTGCCTCCCCTCCCCTCTTCCACAGGCATGTCCGTCCCAACCCTCGGAATGGGGGGGGGGGGGCAAGGACTGTCTGGGGAAAGGGCTGTTGAGAGGGGGGCGAGTTAGCGATCGCAAGACGGCGAAGCATCGTGTGCGTGCCCCTCAGGGCGAGCCGGGACCCGGACGGGGTCCTGGTGAGAGACCCAGGGAAGTGGCGCAGAGGCGGGGTGCTGTGAGGAGGGGGCAGAGGGGGGCCCTGCAGGAGCCCAGGCCCCAGGAGCGGAGTTTTGGGCTTGAACCCCAGTGTGGGGCGTGCAGGGGGCAGCCGATCAATGATTCTCTCTTATCATCATTGTTTCTATCTCTCTCTCCCTCTCCCTTCCTCTCTGAAAGCAACAAAAATATGTTTTTAAAACAAAACAACAAGTTGGAGAGAAAGAGCCAAGCATGTGCAGGTGCGTCCACACAGGTGTGAACTCCTGGAAAAAAGACTGGAAGGAAGCCGGCCAGTGATGACGGGGGGGGGGGGGGGGGGCGGGGGAGCCTTCCCCTTCCAGTCCACTCACTGGTTTTATGTGACTCTTTTTCAAAAGAAAGAGAGAGATGGAGAGAGGGAGAGAGAGAGAGAGAGGGAGAGAGGGAGAGAGACAAAGACAAAGAGAGAGAGAGAGGGAGAGAGAGAGAGACAGAGACAGAGAAAGAGAGAGAGGGAGAGAGAGAGAGACAGAGACAGAGAAAGAGAGAGAGAGAGAGAGAGAGAGAGAAAGGGAGAGGAGACAGAGGGGAGAGGAAAAAAGGAAGAAATAAATCAAGCCTGAAGTCGTTGATCTGGCTGGGGCCACGGAGCCAGGGACGGGCCATGGTGTTTGCCCCAGGCCGAAGCCCCGTGGACTCGGAGGCAGCTGGGCTCTGCAGCTGTGCTGGGAGGAGCGGGAGGGTTCCACAGATCTGAATTATTTATCCCCTTAAAGAGGTGTGGGCAGGGTGGGGGCGCCGGAGCCCACAGAGGTCAAATGGCCGGCCCAGGTCACACGGCACACTCCCCCCTCAGGCCGGTGTCTGCGGCCAGGAGAACGCGCAATTGAGCTCTGCAAAGACCGAAGGGGCCAGGCCAGCAGGCGGCTGCAGCTGGAGGCCAAACCCGGGGGCCTGGCCGTGCCCAGGTGGGACCCCAGACCTTCCCCGTGCTTGCTCAGGGCTCCCTGAGCTCGCAGGGCCTGCAGCAGCCACAGCACTAATCCTCAAAGCTCGGGCTTCCTGCTGCTTCCTCTGCCTCAGGACAACACCTCACAGACAGGTGTTGATATACCCATTTCACAGGTGAGAAGTCAGAGGCCCAGAGTTCGGTGTCTTGCACAGCCAGTGAGTGACGTGCTGCGTTCTCCCTGGAAGCCTGAGGGCTTGTTGCCCGGCAGCCCTGCCCCGCGCAGCCCCGAAGGCCGAGTGAGAGGAGAGGACGGCTCGGTGAGCGGCAGCGGGGGATGAGGAGGCCCCTCCACCTTTTGCTGGGCCTTCGGGTTGGGCAGAAGATGGCCGAGAGGGGTCCCTGGACACAGGGGTCAGCAGGCGCAGAGCCAGGGAGCCCGGCCGGGCTGGCACCACGCCTCTGACCGGCCTGACGGGTGTTGGCAAACAGCTGAGATTCGTACATGTGCCGCCAGCTACAGACTCAGTAGCTCCCCATGAATCTGCAGTGCAGACGAGAGTTCCTGCTTTCCGGTGGGGAAACTGAGGCTCAGAGAGGTTCAGCAACCTGCCTGAGGTTTGCTCCTGGACTGGGAGCAGCCAAGGAGGCGGATTCAGGCTCCAAATTGGGTTTCCCTGGGGGCCAGGACCCCAGAGTGGGTCTGAGTGGTCCCGGTGGCTTGTCCCGGTGGCAGGGCTGCTGTCCCTGCTCCGGGCCCGGCTGGCCGGTGGAGTCAGGTTGTAATCTTCTACATGTGACTTCCCCGAGGTGTGTCCGCTACCCAGAGCCTCCGGTTCGTCCTGAGGCCTTGGGGGTCCCCTCCTGGGGGTGCCAGGCTCTCTGCTCAGGGCTTCCTCTGTTTCTGGGCAGCCCGCCCGGGGCATGGCGAGGCTGGCGCCCAGGGCCTGGACAAATCGCTTGCTGATAAGCTGGCAGGACCAGCTCGGCACATTCCTGCAGCCTGACATCCCCACTAACCGCAAAACGGTGTCAGAGCCGGGGCTCACGGAGCGGGAGGCGGGAGGACGCCGGGTGAGGTCTGCCGGGCGGGGTGGGCCTGCAGGAACCTCAAATTAGTTCCATCCAGTCCCTCTCCGGCCTGGCGACTGATGCCCGGACCGGGGCTGATCTGCGATGAGGGGTCCGGGAAGCGGGGGGCCGGGGAGGATCATTTGCAAACATTAGGCTGACACCGGTGTGAGCGGGCTGAGGGCTGACAGCTCTGATTTGCCGGCGCGGCTCCGGAGCCGGGAGGCTCTGCGGATCAGAGGGGCCCTTTCATGGCAGCCCATCTCCGGCCGGCCGGCGGCTCATTAAAACTCGGCGGGGCCGGCCGAGTCGGCGGAGCGGGGGCGCCGCGGAGCCTTCTGAGGGGCCCGGGTACACATCTGTTGAAAGGTGCCGGGGAAGGCAGCCTTGGGTCTGACAAACCGGATTTCAGTGCGGCTCCCCGCTCACAGCGGGCTGAAATAATTGGTCATCAGTGACTACTAATTCGGTTTAGTAGCCAGAGGCGATTTTTTTCTTCCCGGAAAATCAATGACAGCGCGGAGGCCTGTTCAACGCGACTCCGCTCCAGACGGGCCCGTCTCTGACGCGTGATGCTTCTTCCAGCGGAGACAGCTATTTTGTTAAAATGAAATTAAAATCCACCTCTAATATGCTGGCGGGCGCCCACATGGCCTCCGGGCTGACGGAGTGGACAGCGGCCACCAGGACGGGCCGTGTCTCCTCGGCCGGTGTGACATTCTCAGCTTGCCGTGGGCCGTGGAGGGTCTGGTTTGGGAGGAGGCTGGGGGCTGGGCTTCCCTCTGGGGTTCTAAGTCACAGCTGAGTCCATGACGGACACCCAACAGGGTCCCTTCTAAGACCCTGCCCCAATGGATGGGTTCCTTCACTGAGTGGGATCTGGGGAGGGCGCCCTCGTGTGCTCGGACAGCACCCAGAGGTGCCCCTCAGGCTGGGGTTGCGGCTCGTCCGTTGGCCTGCCAGGTGACCAGTGACCGGGCTGAGCCCTTCGCTTGTGCCCTACATGACCCAGAGGTTTTTTTCTTCTGAGCAAGTCTGACCACTGTTGCCCACACGTACAGAAACCACTGTTAAAGCATTGTTTTGCTTTCTTTACATTGAAATGTAATTGAGATCATTGCAGATTTCACATCCTATATAATAAAAGGCCAATATGCAAATCAACCAAACAGCAGACTGACCAGTCGCTATGACGTGCACTGACCACCAGGGCACAGGTGCTCAAAGCAGGAGCTGCCCCCTGGTGGTCAGTTGCTCCCACAGGGGGAGCGGCGCTCAGCCAGAGCCCTGAGCAGGGCTGGCGAGTGCAGCGGTGGTGGCGGCAGCACGAAGGGTGTCCCACTGATGGCTCAGGGGTGGGCCTGAGCTGCCAGATGGACATCCCCCGAGGGCTCCTGGACTGCGAGAGCCCACAGGCCAGAATGAGGGACACACACCCCTGCCCCGCCCCACCCTGAGTGCACGAATTTCATGCACCGAGCCTCTGGGAGAAAACGGAGGTCCCAGGAACGCTTCCCGTGCTGACATCTGTTCCCCCCGGTAGCATCTTGTGAGACTCGAGGGTAAAATCACATCCAGGACAGTGACACAGACAGCCTCCCCTCTCGTTCAGATGTCCCCAATGACTTGTGTGTGTGTATTTCTTTTTAAAATATATTTTTATTGATTTCAGAGAGGAAGGGAGAGGATGAAACATCAAGGATGAGAATCACTGATCAGCTGCCTCCTGCACGCCCCCTGTGGGGACCAAGCCGACAACCCGGGCATGTGTCCTGGTTGGGAATCAAACCGTGACCTCCTGGTTCATAGGTTGATGCCCAACTGCTGAGCCACGCTGGCTGAGCTAATTTTTTTCCAATGGAGGAAGGGACCCACGGAAACTGGAGAGCCTGGGCTCGGGAAGTGCCCGGGAGCTGGAGACACCGGCCGGCCTGGGTCAGAAATTGCATTTTGATGCCCCCCCCCCCCCCCCCCCGTGTGTTGAGGCCAGAGACACAGTCCTGAGGGTGAATGGGAATCACCCAGAGAGCTCGTGAGCCAGAGAGGTGCCGGTGTCACCCGCGGACCTTCTGACTCACGGGGCCCAGGGGCCGGCCTCTGCATTTACCGGGACGCCCCCTCCCGAGGGGTCACCCACGTGGACCTGGGCCCCGGAGGGCCCCAGCCCCAGCCTCCCCTGTGGAGGCCGCTCCGCCCAGGGGACAGCGGCAGCCCCTTCACCCCACTTTGTCTTAATTGTCCCTCCTTGGCCGGAGGGCTAAGGAGCAGGAGGCCGGGCAGGACAGAGGCCTCCCTCCCGGGAGGGACTCAGGGACTCGGTGCTAATTAGAGAAGGGGACCTCTGGGCTGCCTTTAATTGTTTGTGGATCCAATAATGACAGAGGAGGGAGGCTGCGGAGGCACACTCCTGACTTCTAAACTCTAAGAGGTCATTTGCAATTTGTTAACATTT